CACACCAACGGGGACGAGCTGGTGTGCGTCGCCTTGGGGGAACGCCCTAACCCTCGTTGGCATGGGTGCGCAGCTGAGTAGAATTGCAGCCCTGAAAAGGGCTGGCAGGGGTCGCGACGAGCACGCTTCTACAATGACTCCCGGAGTCCCGGAGAGCGAGAACGCCTGCCAGGGAGTGGGGGTGCTGCTGTCTTCTCGGTTGGTCGATGTTATGACTGAATATAAGTTTGTGAACTCATGACTTCTCTGGGTTCGCTTTAAATTGGGACTGACGAAGTTATTCCTTTTGGCTGTTTATGCGCCGGTAGCTTCGTCGTCCAGGGCTGAGCTGGAGGAGTTTTGGGAGAATGTAAGAGAAGTTCTAGATTTGGCTAGGGGAAACGAAAGAATTGTTGTATGTGGTGATTTGAATGGATGGGTTGGTACCGCTCGACCAGGGTACGAGTCGGTACTTGGAAAGTTTGGCGATAAAAGGGTTAATGATGCTGGCAAGCTTATACTGGCGGTATGCAAGGAAAAGGGTCTTCTTGTGACAAACACTATGTTTAATCACAAGAAAATCCATATGTATACTAGAGAAAGAAAGAATGAGAGAAGTATGATCGATTTGTTCCTGGTGGATGACCGACTGCGAAAACAGGTTATGGATACGCGAGTGTTTAGGGGTGCTGACCTGGGAACGGATCACTATCTAGTGATTACTAGATTTAGGGGTCTGTTCGCGGATTGGCGCTACCGGACGGCAGTGACAGAACCACAGTCGGTCTGTCGCATCCGAAGCTGGAAGCTTCAGGAAGCGGATACTAGGGACAAATATCATGCGAGGGTAGCCGAAAAGCTTGACACCATCGATGGCAGAAACGAATGTGTAGAAAGAACATGGCAGAACCTTAGGGATGGAATGGTAAGTGCAGCGGAAGAAGTGTGTGGAACAATAAAAAGAGGCAGTAGTAAAAGAAGAGATGCATGGTGGAATGATGAAGTGAAAGAAGCTGTAAAGAAGAAGAAGACAGCATGGTTAGACTACTTGGCCTCTGGTAATGATAAGGATATGAGAGAGAAGATGAAAGAAAGATATAGGCTGCAGAAAGTTCACACGAAAGCATTGATTGAGGAAGTGCGTGAAAGGTGTAGAATGGAAGCGGACGAAAGGTTGTCGCACAACTTTAAGGAGAACTCCAAACTCTTCTGGAAAGAGGTTGGAAGGACCCGAAGTGGTGCGACGGCCTTAAGAATGAACAAAGTGCTTTCGAGAACTAATGACGTCCTCTCAGAAAAATCGGAAGTCATGCAGCGATGGAGCGAATTTTATAGAGAAATGTATGCGTGTGATGATCTTAGTGAGGGATCCGGGGATGACGCTGTGACTGGTACGCCAGACCCGGACCTCGATGACACTGAGGTCATCAGTATGAAAGAGATTGAACGTGCGATTCGAAGTTTGAAATGTGGTAAGGCTGCGGGACTAGACAGAGTTACTGCTGAAATGGTGAAGTATGGTGGGTCTCGCGTCTGGGACAGCTTTCATCTGCTGTGCAATTTGTGCTGGCGGACGGGGGATGTCCCGGATGATTGGCGATCCGCAGTCATTGTGCCTTTATATAAAGGTTCACATTTTGACTGCGGGTGCTATCGGGCGATCAGCTTGACCAGTTTAGCAAGTAAAGTTTACTCGAAGGTTTTGACACGTAGGATCCAAGAGAAATCGAAAAGATTTCTATGGCAGGCACAATGCGGATTTAGACCTGGAAGAGGATGCACGGATCAAATGTTTTCTCCCCGCATGATCACGGAAAAGCTTCTGGCTGCTAACCAGAAGATTTTCTGTGCTTTTGTGGATCTTGAGAAAGCATTTGATAAGGTTGTAAGGAAAAAAATGTGGGAACTGTTGCCGGGGTATGGTGTGATGGCCGATTGCTAAGGGCTGTGCAGTCTCTTTACTGTGACTGTAAAGCCTGTGTGCGGGTAGGGCATGACCTGTCACCCATGTTTAGCGTCCAAACGGGCTTAAAACAGGGTTGTGTCATGTCTTCCTGGCTGTTCATACTGTATCTCGACAGCTGTTTACAAAAGCTGAAAGATAGCTGTTTGGGTGTGAAATTGGGTGACATAAAAGTAAATTGTCTGCTGTATGCTGATGATGCAGTGCTTATTGCACCATCAGAGGCAGAACTGCAGGCATTAGTCACGTGTATGAAAGAAGAATGTGAAATTAAAGGTCTCCGTTTGAACGCTAATAAAACTAAGGTTCTGGTATTTGAAAGGGACGAAGAGAGAACGAAGTGTGAAATATGGGTAAATCAGGAATGTCTAGAACAAGTAAATGAAATTGTATACTTGGGGAGTGCTTTTATCCGAGATGGAAGATGTGATTTAGATGTGGACAGGCGTGTCGCTGCCGGGAACAAAGTCAATGGTGCCCTGACTGCGTTAGTCAAAAGGCAAGGCGTAGTGAAGAGTGCACGCCTTGCAATACATAACGCAATGTTGGTACCGACTTTGTTATATGGCAGCGAAACCTAGGTATGACAGAAGAAGCAGAAAAGCAAGTTGAATGCAGTGGAGATGCGATCTCTTCGTAAAATGTGCGGCGTTACCATGGCCGACCGAAAGCGAAACGAAGAGATTCGCAATATGGCAGGTTTGAAAGATGACCTTATCACAAAAATTGATAAGGGCGTGCTTCGGTGGTTTGGGCACGTTGAGCGAATGAGTGAAGACCGAATGGTGAAGAAAATATATAGCGCGAAAGTTAATATTAAAAGGTGTCGAGGTAGACCGAGACTAACTTTCGAAGATCATGTGAGCAAATTGCTCGAAGAGGGTAGGGTCAAGAGTACTCGGATACCTAGACGTGCATGTATGAAGAAGATAATGAATCTGAAAGAAGCGATAAGGATCGTGACACTTGGCGATCTGTTCTCTCTGGCTACCCCGTCAGGGATTGTGCGTGAAGATAAGTAAGTAAGTAAGTAAATGATGGGTGACTTACCACCCGACCGCGTCAGGGCCATCCGACCATTCGCTGGAGTCCGAACAGACTTTGCTGGCCCCTTCCTCGTCAAGTCTTCCAACCTTCGTAACGCGCGTTCACATAAGGCCTATCTGTGCGTTTTCGTGTGCCTCGCCACTAAGGCCATTTAGACAACAAGACACTTAGAACTTGTAAGTGCCCTCAGCACTGCAACCTTTGTGGCCACACTGGGCCGCTTAGTATCGCGTCGCGGTTTGCCGGACCTGATCCGGTCTGATTGCGGAACGAATTATAAGGGCACGGATAGATATTTGAAAGAGGTGGCCGAATTTCTGTCCAGTAACAGGACTTATTTGGGTACTGCGATGTCCGAGAAGGGCATCCAGTGGAAATTCGACCCTCCCAGCTTGCCCACACTGGGGCGGTATTTTTGGGGCGGTGGTTAAGTTGCAAAAACGCATCTCCGTAGCGTTATTGGCGAAACTATTTTGTCATTTGAGGAGCTTGCCACTGTATTCTGTAAAATTGAGGCGGTACTCAACTCTCGGCCCCTCTGTCCCTTCTCGTCCGATCCGAATGATTTGAAGGTTCTAACCCCGGGCCACTTCCTGATTGGTCAGCCGCTTAACGCCCTGCCCGAGTACCCCTTCAGGGAAATAAACTCTTCGCGGTTGAGCAGATTTGACCTGCTGCAACAGATGACTCAAAAGGTTACCTACATCTTTTGCAGCAGCGCGTTAAGTGGTCTGACAAGACGGATCCTCCTCAGGTTGGAGACCTCGTGTTAGTTAAAGAACCCAACGCTTTGCCTTTGTATTGGCGCCGTGGGCGCATTGTTAAGTTGTCGTATGGATCGGATGGGGTGCCTAGGGTGGCCGAGATTTTGGTTGGAGATTCGGTCTTGCAACGTGCCGTCGCGACCCTATCCCGTTTGCCAATTTACTCGCGGACATAAGTCCTTATGCCCGGGACGGGGGTTTGTTTAGGCCAAACCTTAACATTTAAAACTTGCATTCAAAACGCTCGTCTCGGCGCGTTCATCCGATGATATTTAGGTCACCGCCTGGCCCCCTTTCCCGCGCGCGTCTCTCCGCTCACCCTCGGTCACCTGACGTGTGGACGATCAACCGGGCGGCCGTGTCCTACCAGTCTGGAAGTTACACTCGAATCGTTCGGTCGCGTGACGACCGCCTCTGATTGCGTTGTCTTTTTCGTGCGTTCGTGCTTTACTTGACAACGAGGCTTTTCTTGAGTTTTGAGTGATTAACTTAACTTCGATTGCCATTAATTAGCGTCGACGAGTTGCTTGTGTGGCATTCTAATATTGTACGAAGACATTTTTCCCTTGTCAGGTTACATTTATACACTTTCTCACACCACTTAAACCCACATACTTACCCCTGACGGTACCTTGTGGTCGTCACGGTAAGTTTGTGTTCGTTTATCCAGCCATTACATAATAATTATCCATAGGCCATTTGGGCCCGAACCCTCTGGTTGCCCGTCGAGTGGGCTACTCATGGGCCCTAGTCCAGTCGACTTCTGTCGGGGCAACTGAGGTCCGTAACAATGGTTGATGCCGCTATTATTTCGACGTCTTTCATCATTGCTGGCTCATCGCAAACTGAACGCATCGCGAGAGTGTAAACATGCACTCGTTACCTCGCAACAACACGCGAGCTTCGAGGCGAGGTACGAGGCGAGGTGCGAGGCAAGAGTCTAAACCCGGTATAATAAAACAAGTTAAATGATTTAAGGTCAACTCATTATATAAAATAAATATTAAAATTCATTTAAAAATTGTACAAACAAAATTATTGTAAAGTGAAATATGTTTATAAAAAAGTACCGGTGGGTTTCTTTCTAGTTGTTCCCAGGACTGAGGTATTTTCCGAAGCAGTGGTAAAAAAATGACTTTCAATAGATATTATGTAATAATCTATATTGAATGAAAATTATTTTATTCTATTATATTATATTCTATGACAACTGAATAAATTCATTATGAATTACATGTTTATCTCACCTAGCTGCTTAAATTCGTAGACAGGCTGTTTCTGTAGAGCTCGATACACGTACTCATGAAATACGGACAGATAACAGCGCCCATTCATATTCATCACCCAGTCCTTCTTAGCCGTTTTGCCACCTGTAATTGATTATTATTTAACTTAATAACTGACATGCAAGCTATATCTACATTATGAACTTCAGTAACATAAGAAATTGATTCTATGTATAAAAGTTTGATCACCAGTGCTAGCATAATCAAACTTTTTGATTCAGTGGTGATTAACGGGCTGTAACGGTAAAACTGTTTATATTTCAAGAGTATTCAATTTTAAGAGTATTACCATTTTCTTGTCCATTTGCCGGTTGAGCTGGAATGGTGATAAGTTTTGTTCCCTCTGGCAGTGTCGGATATTGCAACGCCTTCCTGGCTTTGGTATACTTACGCCGATCCGCCCAGCGACTATATAGCAGAAATAAAAATTAGAACGTTTTGTTTAAAGGCCTGAATAGACATTTTTTTATAATTAAGGGTAACCAACGAGGACACAGTCCATCTGATTGTTAGTGAATGCTGTGACCTATAGACATCTACATTTATCCTCAATTACAAATGCAGATGCTTTCCCCTGTGGACTGAGATGGAATGCCTTGTTACCAGTAAAAGGGGTCTCCGTTTTTCTACATTCCCCATACGAAACACAATTTTGTGAGAGCGTGATCCTACCCTGGTAGAACTAACCCATTCGTGCTATAACTATAATATAGCTGCAGCGTGGCTCTATCGCGTAAAAAACCGTTGTAATCGGGAACAGGGCTGGTGCTGCAAAATGCCACCTGGCAGCGTTGGACTCAGTGGAGAGACGTGCTAAGAGTCATTGGTTACTTTGATTTGGTTGAAACCAATCTTATCACCCTCGAGCACAGGCGCAGAGTAGCCAGTCTCGGTATTCTATAGGATGCATTTCGGTGAGTGTGCGCAGGAATTACACGCTTTTATTCCTCCCTCTCCTTTCCACCATCGAACAACCAGGCGATCGGCGGGTCTTCATCCCTTTGTTGTCGATATTCCACGCATTAAAACCAAAAGGTTTGCTTCGTCTTTTGCAATGCGTACAGCAAAGGAGTGGAATTATTTGCCGGCGTCTATCGTTCCGTCCGAATACAATCTGGGCGTCGTCAAGGCAAGAGTGAATAGGCTTTTGTTACGCTAAGACAGTGCGATTTACCATCTAGGGCTGCATCACCACTTACCACCAGGTGGGTTTGTGGTCAAGCAGTGGCTTATAAGTAAAAAAAAGCAGCTGCTGCTGCCCATCTCTTGTTTCAGTTACCCTCTGTCGCCTTTTTACGACACCAACGGGATGCCATGCGGTAGTGGATTTTCTTGCACCGCCACTACGCCAGCTATTATCATCGAATTTTACCCGCCTGCGAAGCATAAAAACTGTAAAAAAATCCCCCACTATAGGACAATCTAGTTTAGCAGTGGACTTTATAGACATTTTAACGACCTCATCAGCATTTGAAGTCGTGCAAGTCTATATTGCGTTCTAATTGAAAGCATAAACATGACATCATTAAGTAATAAATACAAAGTATTTATAACTTCTTCGAGCTAGGTATATGGTCGGTCCATTGCCACTTCAGCTTACTAATCAGTTGGGCTATGCCGTTTACTCTGGATCTACTGCGGATATCCTCATGTCTAAGTCTATCACGCAGATAAATCACGAGCATAGCCCTCTCCATAGCTCACTGAGCTTCCTCATACACACAGAAAGGACCACCTCTCAGATAATATCATCACTGGCAACACGCACTGCTTGTACAATCTTGGTTTCAAGTTTCGAGATATACCTGACGAGAACATATGTCGTAATCTCCCAAACGCTGTCCAGCCGAATTGAATCCGTCGATTGACCTCTCGGTCGAAGTTGACCTTAGCTAGTCGGACTATTTGTCCCACGTGAACATACTTGTCGACAACTTCGAGGATAGTGTTCTCAACAACTAACGGCATAGGTGTAACATGGACATCACACATGATCTTTGTTTTGTCTATACTCATTTTAAGACCTATCCGTTGGGAGACACTGAGGTCGTTGAGCATAGTTCTTCTATATAGTTCTTCATAGCTGGTAGGTACCTACCTATAATTTTACTATATTTAACCTAGCAGTATCTCAGATATTCCGCTTAAAATATTGGATAGGGAGTTGAACAGAATAAATAAAACAGGTTAAAATTATACGTTAGTTCTGTTTATTTTTCCGCCTCGTTACAGATGTGCAACCGACAAATATTTAGATTTATTATTTGTTTTTTTTTTAATTTCTTTTGTTGAATTTAATGATATAATGAATTCTCATCCTTACATATAAATAAACTAAAAATCGTGACGGAAAGCAATCACATGGTTATTAGAATTCAATTTTACTTAAGGCGTCATACAATCTTTCCCAATATTTTCCGAGTAATATCGTGTTGTTGGGTGAACACTAAAAGCGTGCAACTGATTCAGTGTACGTGACACTCCTAAACGGGCGTACCGGTATGCAAGCGAAGCCGACCGGTACCCCCGCAGACGTCGCGGGCAAGGGGGGGGGGGGGGGACTCCGCTCTCCTTCATACGAAACGAGGCATTGCATCTTAGTCCTCACGAGTGTCAATGCATCTGCAATTTGATTCGTAGTCGAGGATAGATGTAGATGTCTATGAGCCACAGCAACTACTTAACACCAGGTAGACTGTGAGCGTTAGTCACCTTTAAAAAAGGCTTGTTTGAAGTTGACTGCTGGTGTCTATTGGCTACACTGTAAGTTCGTTTGTCTCTTCAAAAAACATACGTAATTATTATTATAAATGATAAAAAAATAACTACATGAACTTACTTAAAATGCATAATGTTGACTGTTTTAAATTTAAACAGTTTCTTGCAATAATCATTGATTTGTTCTGGAGTCAAATGTTGTGTCTTCCAGCTGTTGTTAACTGACTCTACACGAGGTGGTGGCATTACTATACCTCCTGGAAGTACAACCGGCTGTATGTTTAGCGGGATATCCTCGGTCGCTTTGCTGCCTTCTGGAGTTTGGTTATTATTGGCTAACTCGGCATCATGAGGGCCAGTTGATTGACTTTGTTCTTCTGCACTAATATTATCAGCTGGATCAGTATGACTAGAAGGACTCAGTTGCTTTTGTTTTTCTTTACTAATATTGTCAGCAGGGTACACATGGCTAAATGGACAACTAGATTTATTTTGTTCTTCTATTCTTATATTGTCAGCGTCCACATGCCTATTTATAGCTGGGTCCATTTGACTATAAGGGCATCTTTTTTGCCTTTGTTCTTTTGTATTCATACTTATATCATTATTTTGACTGTTTACATCAGTTTCATTTTCTTCGTTTACTTTAACACCACTTATTTCAACCTTAATGGCCCGGATTTTATCTTTGTTACCACTGGTTTTATTGTCGTCTTGTTCCATGTTCTCTACTTCAACTTTATTGTTTTTACAGGATATAGTACTGCTAGTGACCTCCTGAACATCTGAGGTAGTATTTGGATTAGTTTCATTGTTATTAGAATTTGTTTTAGAATTATCATTTCCCTGGCTGACGTTGTTCATCCAGGTTCCATTTCTTATTTGTTCCTCAATTCTTCTATCAATTTCCTTCTGCTTTTCTTCTTCTTCTAAAGCGCGTCTGTACGATAGGCAGGGTATCGCACTAATTGGTATATCATGTCTCTGCAATGTACATAAAACGGGGTTTTACTCTTTTTATATTCATGTAAATATGCTATATTATAATATTATACTGAAAATATAAATAAAATTGAAGTGTCTGTCTGGAATATTGAAATAACTGACTGCTATTAAGCTCTGGGGGTTGTTTGTAAGACATTTTTAAATTTTTTGTTTGTCTGTCAATCCGGGCAGACAAAATGACAAATTGTGTTGGCCATTCAGAATGGCTGAACCGATTGAGATGAAACTTCACAAACATAATATAGCAATGCCTGGGGTGAAATAGGTTATATTTTAATCGAAAAGTTTGAAGACTTTTTTTGAAATTTAATAATTGATAAAATAATCATTGATGATGATCTTGAATGTAAATGATGACATTAAATGACATTAATATATACTTAATAGAATCAGGCGTTACTTTGCGGAAATCTATTAGTAAGGCAAATAATTTTATTTTGTTACGCAGATCTTGATAACAAATTTTAACATCTTTAATTAATAGATACCACGCAGACAAAGCCGGGGCGTGTCGCTAGTAATAATATAAAGTCGGTTACCCTCGTGTTTCCTTTGCCTAAGAAGTAGGGCTTGGAGAGCGTGCACACACGCGTAGTCCGATGCATGTACACCGGCATGCCGCTGTAGTGTCGAACCGCCATCCAGTCTAGTGGCAACACTTCGAAATGATTCACACCTTTCTCTGTAACATTTCATAACAATTGTCGCTATATTATAGTAAAAACAAGAGAGCCAAGAATTCATTTAAGTGGAGCCATGCTGGCCGTATTAGGAAGCTCAAGGTCGCTCAGCAAGCTATGTAGAGTGCTATATCCGGATTAGTAAACTGAAGTGGCAATGGGCCGAAACTCGAAGTACTGACAACCAATGGGGAATAAATATTCTCGAGTGGCAACCTCGTACCGGTAAGCTAAGTGTAAGGCAGCCCCCACTAGATGGAGTGACGACCTGGTAAGATATGCAGGACGTCGTGGATGCAGGTGGCTCAGGACTAAGCTTTATGGCATTCCTTGGGAGAGGCCTATGTTCAACAGTGTGACGTGAGTGGACTTTTGAAAGGCTGTAATGATAATGATTATGATGCAGCTATATTATGGCTGCAGGACGAGTAGGTCAGCTTGACCGATGAAGGACTCTTAAAAAATACCACCATTAACCATCCATTCGTGCAGCAAGCATTTTAAAGCTGCGACGTGACACTATCACTTTAAAAATATACCAAAATGTTCTCCACTCACGTTTTAAGCCACAAATGAAAGTTGAACAATAGTTCATGATGCTAATTTTCCGCTGCTGGTAGATAGGTCACAGATGATAATATTTTATGAATTATCAAGAACATTATAACATCCTAATTTAATAAAATATTATGACATTGTTAATAGTACACAAGTGCGAAAGACACAACGAAAAATATTGTGCGAGTGTGCGTAGGTGCATGCTTCCGAGCGAGATTGCGTGCGCATATAACTAATTGTAAGGCATAACTATAGATAACTATACATTTTTGCAAGTTACCTTCCAGTACGGTCTTCTGTCTGGTAATATATGGTTTTTCTTTGGGTTTGGGCGCGCCTTTTAAATCATCAGGTAGATTTTCTTCGAGCATTTTTTCAATTTCCTCCTCGGGAACTCCTTCAGATTTGCCTATAAAAGTTTTAGAAGCGTTTACTTATTATATTATGTAATATTTATTTTAATATATATTTTGTAAAATAACCAGTATTTTATTGTTATTAATGAATAAATAATTGTAACTGAACAGTGATTGAGGTCATATTCACTTAAAATTTTTTTTTTTATCGAAACGATAGTTCACTGCTTTGCTAGGTTCCGACAGATGGCGCTGTAGGTAAGTTATTAATTAATACTACATTTATGAACCTCTTTGACACCCTCGTTGTTCTAGTGGTCGTAAACGCAACCGCAATAAAACGACACTCCGGATCAGACAATGGTCCCAAGAGCCGAGAGACAAGGGGCATCGAGAAAGACCCGATATCCGTGCGGATAAGAAGTTCCAACAGGGAAGGTGCATTATCTTCCATATCTGGAATACACGTGGGCGAAGTAACCAATTGTGTCAGATCATACGTTAAGTAGATTTCCCCGCAAGATCGGTTGAACGAGAACCGAGCCATTCGGTGTGGTGGGATCACTATCACACACAAACTTCGGCCCGAGGCACAAAGGAGTATTCCAATTTGTACACCGGGTAGAAAAGATACGAAGTATCACCCGCAGAGGACACGTACGTCTCGATTCGAAAGAGAAAAGCCAGCTTCGCCGTCTGCAGATGGTAGTGGATAGCGTTCAACAACCCACCCCACCCCATTCTCCAGGATACGCGAGGCAGCCCGAGCATTCTCCATTACCAAGGATAATGGTACCCTCCTAGGGTAATTATTTTTAAATTGTGTTTTACCATGTTAGGAAAGGGGGAGGTGGGCCTTGACCTGAAACTCGATGCTCAGTACGTCCGGGCTAGTGTTTGTTAGTGTGTAGTGAAAGTGGTGAAGGAAAACTTCGTGAGGAAACCTGCATATCTGAGAAATATAAAAATACTGTTTTAAAGACGTAAAGTCCACCAAAACACATTCGGGTAGCACACACTGGTACGTATATGGGATGTAACTTTATATTTAAATAATAGGAACAACGCTATTTGAGCCACCCTAGCTCTGAGAAATTCTAATGTTTTAATGTCATCAAAGATCCCGAGAGCGACCCCAGTATACTGAGGTACTTAGTCCAATTTCCTAGAGGCTAATAAAGATTTGAAGTACTACTTAAAATTAAATTAAAAAAAAGAACCATGTTCTAATTACAATCACATATTTATCAAATGGCAAATTTATCAGTTACCTGTAGTAATTTTAAAGTTAAAAGCAAATAATATTAATAAGAACATGACATCTTATAAATTTCTTTCTTGATTAAAATTAAAATTTTTATTCCTGTCTATTTAAAGGCCGATTTACACTTCGACAAGTACAGTAGCAAGTTAACTCGCGAACCTGACTAGTTTAGTAAAAAATCTCGTTAAAACGGTAATCAGTAAGTTAAGTAGCAAATTAACGATTAGGTTGAACGGGGTAGCCTATATAGATAAGTGTTGCCCTCCCGCGCGTCTCCCGCCTCTTAACTCCGCGCACGTGTTAACGAGCGAGTTTAATTCAGTGCATAAGTTGACAGGACGCAACGTGTTCGCGTTCTACCCTCAAAATATAAAATTGTACTTTTTTTAACTAAACTTGCCACGATGACATTTGAACGCTACTGCCCACTTAACCGTTTACTGTCAACTGCCCTGTAACTAAACTCGCTACTGTACTTGTCGAAATGTAAATTGGTCTTATGAAAGAATAAAAAAAATTATATAGCTACCCCCAGAACTGTCAGAATCCTCATCGTTGCTGTCTTCCTCATTTGACTTCACTTCATCCAGCACCTTAAACTCCCTCAATTTTTCTAATTCTTCCGGTGTCACAAAATTTGTATACTTGTCTTCAGGAACAAACTTTCCTTCAAAATCTACGTTATCTTGGGAAAAATCAACATCTGATTCATTTTTAAATATTTGTTGTTGTTCATTCATTCTCGGGCGTTTTGGTAGTGGTTGTTCCATATCACTGTTTTCAGCATCCATTTTACCTACCTAAAAATATTTATAGCTGATATGGGAGACACATATACATTTAAATCTGAACACTTAATTAAAAAGACATTTTGTTGACCATCCAAGCAGCAACTATGATTCTACTTGAATATATCGTGCCAGTGTTTTAAAAATAATTTCTATCAACATTACGGGTATCTACTTGCATAATAAACTGGTACAAGCTACATAGTACAACATCATTTGATAAGTGAATTTTCAACTGAAGCTCAAACACAGTCGTGCACAATTTTCGCACAAGTGTCGTGCACAATTTTTTACAAATCGATCTAAAGGCAGTTTAAGTAACTTAATTTCTATTTAGATTTATCTCTTTCCCGTCGATTATAAGTCGACTTAGAAAACAAGGTCTACTTCTTTTCTTTTTTTTTCGCAAAAAGAAATAAGAAAGGAAGCAGAAACTATTAATTACACTAATCATTTATATGGCAGCACGGAAGAGCAAGATAGTAGCTGAGATAGGAGCCGAAGAGGCCCTCCTTCTCTGCCAGAAGCCCTGGGACGAAATTCTTCTGCCCAAACCTCCCCCAATTTCGAAGGCGAAAAAACGCAGTCGGTCTGAGGAGTCCCCCAAAGACCAGCCCAGAAAATCTGTGAAGCTAGCAACGGGGGAGAAGAAGCTCAGCTTCAGTGCCGTAGCTGGCTCCGAACATGTAGGAATTCGCAATTCGAATCCTACGAGCGTGGAGCACATGCAGCTGGTCCACCGGGCACTAACGCAGGCTATCGCTAAGACGGCTTGTGAAGCGCAGCCGGGAATGGGACCGAAATTTTCGGGTTTCACCCACAAGTCAGGTTGAATTCTGGTAACGTGCCTGAATAAGGCAAGCCAGGACTGTATTGTGGGTGAGGTCGGAAAACTGAAACCCTGGCCGGAGGCAGAGCTCTCGATAATACCCGAGAACACGAACTGCCTAAGCCTCAGTTGGGCATAACCTTTCTGCCCCGCAGCGTAGCTGACTCTCCAGAAGAGGCAGCTGTGCTATTGAGGGCACAAAATTTTATTTTTTTATTTATTTCTGAAACTTACAACTATCAATACAGGATTACCTAATGCGATAGTGTAGCCGTGTAACTGATTTGTATTCATGCTTTAATTTTTGTAACAAATTACAGACAATGCTGTCTTTGTAAATTCACTCAGAGTACAACAAAACAAGTCCGTCTCACTAGCTATTAAGTTGAGCATATGAAGTGCGCGCGTCATAGGCGCCTTATCCAGATGATTGGTCCGAACGCGCGGCTCCACCAACAGTCGTGGCTGCCGTCGGCGCCACACATACCTCTCAGGAACACATAAGTTTAGTTGCTCTAACATTTCAGCGTTATGCAATTTTCCTCGGAGTATTTTAAAAATATACGAGGTGAGAGCAAGTTCCCTTCTAACTCTTAATTCATTATATCCTACCATAGTACCTAAGATAAACAAAGTTGGATACATTAACTGGTTCAGTGCGGATGGCACGCCAGGCGTGCCATCTATTACTTTTGCGTGTGGCGTATGACACACGAGTCGTGTCTTTCTTAAAATCGTTATAACTCGCTCAAATTGCGTTTTTGGAAAATTTATCCAGAACAAAATAGTCATTATTTTGCAAGTAGTACCTGCCTGCGGCTTCGTTTCTGGATATTTTGAAAATTTGAAATTATTAGTGGTTGACAACTTTTTTTAACTTGTACATGGTACTCTTTTTACTTTGTGGGTTTTCAATCATGTTGTGGAAAAATAGTCTAATAAGTAACAAATAATAGCACTCATTGCGATCGCTCACAAACTCAAGTTATAAATAAATTTCTGGAAAACCAGTCTCCTGTTAAAAAAAAAAAACAATGCGTTTGTCTTATTGTTTAATTTTGCTTAAAATGGTTGAACTGCCGTCTTATTACTATCATATGGCCGAATAGCCCTACGAAGTACCATGTGCTTTTGTGATACGGTATAAGGTATAAGGCATAAGTCTTTTGCTTGAAACAGTTTGAAACCGTTCATGCATAAAAAATAGTCTTTTGTCAATCCGCCGCCGTATAGCTCCGGCGTTTGTTTCCTTTTGTAAACACTTGTTTTGCTATTCATTCTAATTAGACGTTTTCAAATCGACTTTATTTTTACATTTGTATACCATTAAATAATATTTAACATTTGTAAATATTAATGAATCATAAACCTTATTTTTTTCCAAATCCTTAATTTGTTCATTTGTGTTTATGATTCATTAATATTTACAAATGTTAAATATTATTTAATGTTATACAAATGTAAAAATAAAGTCGATTATTGATTGTTTGATATTTACAAATATTATTAGGTGAAAATTTAATTTAATAAAAACCAAGGTTTTCCCGGGTGATTTAGCTGTACCTACTTGTGTAAATGATTTTTTATAAAACAAAAAATAGTGCAAAATGTTTGTAATCTCTGCGTAAAAAAAGTCACTTACTCTCATTTTCAAATAAAACACGTAGAATAACACGTAGTTACCCACTAAAAACAAGTATCCTTCCGTTTGTAACTGATGTTTGATGTCAACTAAACTTAATTAGGTCTAAACAAGTGAAAAAAGCATAAAAAAGATAATTATTTTTACACATGGCTGATGGCACAATAGGCGTGTCATCAACTTCTGTGGCGCTTGACACGCCAGGCGTGTTTGCCGCCACAGCTAAGAGTTGTCAAAAATCGGTGCCGCAACGAATCGGTTAAAGGAGAAAATCGGTATACAGCATAATAACGCATATATAAATATCTAAAAAATTTATTTTGTACTCGCTCTAGCATGAGACTGCACTTAGTTTCAAGCGGAGCCCAGATGACTGCATTACATTCAAGTTGACTCCAAACCAATATAATACATTCGTACAAGGCGATAATCGCTTTTATGTTTGTGAATCCTCGGACCATACAAAGCAAAATCTATAGCATAATCTATGAGCTTCTTTACAGATGTTTATGATGTGATCATGAAAGTAAGCTCTGTGTTAAAAATTACTCCTAAATCTTTAACTTCTCTGACCCTTGTCATCGGCAGCCCGTCAATGTGATAGTTATTTAAAATAGGAGTGTGCGCGCGAGAAAAACTAATTAACACACACTTAGAGCTGTTAAATTGCAAAAGATTGTCTTTACTCCATCTCACAACCCTGTCTATATCTTTTTGTAATATAGCAGTTATTCCCAATTTTTACCGCAAGAGACAATTTAAGGTCCTCAGCAAACAATAAAACCTAGCGTCTTTCACCACTTCTGGTAGGTCGTTTATCATCAGCAAGAACTCCAAAGAGCCAAGATTACTGCCCTGACTTACCCCGTACCACGTGAAATATGGCTCCGACTTATGTCCCTCATATTCCACATATTGCTGCTTATCGGACATGTATGTCACATGGCCGTCATTTAATATAATAGTTCGCACAGCTGCAATGTTTTCAGGCGTGACCGCTGTTCTTGGTCGACCTGCAGAAGAAACAGTGCTGAGCGACACACGACCGCGTCTGAACTCGGCATAACAGCGGTATATTGCCGTTTGACTCGGTGCTTCAACATCATAAATCGAAACAAGTTCTCTGAGACATTTATCTTGAGATAAGCCGCGACGAAAATTGTGATAAATTATGGCACGGAAATGTTCACGCGTTAGCTCAATTTCTGTTAACGACGTGTCAACTTAAAACCAACATAGTTTTTGTTTTTAAACATTTTTTTAATTGTTTGAATGTCATTAAAATTCTAAGAGGCCAATATTCAAATTCTAAAAAAGGTTTTATTGTAACTCAATCCGAAATATTCTATTCCCGATCATTTCAGTGTGCCCTAGTAAAAAAACCAAAAAATGGAATATTTATAGTGCAGCCCTAACCGATTATAATAAAGAAATTAGGAAAACTAAGTGAGCATCGTGGAGGAAGCTTTGCGAGCAAGTTGAGTCTTTGCCTCGCAGTGTAATACTACACAAAATGCTATAGAAAGCTAAACCTTTCCCAGGGTCACATATGACTATTGCCCCGAACTCTTTCAGAGCATTACAAGGCCTTCAAAGCCTGCAAAGATAATAAGGCCAAACCTGGGCCACTGGACTTTTAACTCCTTTAAACCATATAAGACAAATGGGGAAGATGGAATAATGCCCATCCAACTACAGAAGGGTATCGACATCCTTCTTCCTTATCTGGTGAAAATCTTCAGTGCAAGTTTTGCATGAAATCATTGTCATCCACAACGATGGACTATTGTCAAAGTTCTATTTATATTTTATACCCAAGGCTGGTAGAACGGACTACGCTTTACCAAAGTCCTTTAGACCTATTAGCCTTTCTTCCGTTCTTCTTAAGACATTGGAAAAGGTTGTAGATAGATATATTAGGGATGTAGCTCTAGCTATGAGATCTATACACTTAGGGCATGCAATTCAGATATCGGGATATCCAAATTATTCGGATATTCGCCTCGTTTATTGTTCGAATAATATATTTATAATTATTCAGTTTTTACGAATATTTCAAATACTATTTTATTTTGATTTGTTAAAAATATCCGAAGGTAAACCTACTAAGTTACGTGAAAAACATGCGTGTATCAGATTGTGGGTCGTCATTCATTAAGTAGCCAAAGACGAAAATATAAAAAAAAAAACTACTTAGCATGTGTGCATAGTGCAAACGGTTTTACATTTCGTATCTTTGCGATATTGTTGTTGATTTGATTGATTGACATTGAAGGAAAAATTGGAATATTACGGCTTGTAAATACAAAACGATATCTCATGCATAATCTCTGACGGTGCAATCGTAATGTGCGTACTAGGGAAAATGGTTCCCTCTTGTCACAGTTATGTTTGGCCCATGGTATTCAGTGCACTGTCCTGGACGTGTTATACAAAGCTGATAACTCAGAAGGTAGCACCGTCATCACTGTTAGCAGACCTTGCGATAGCACTGACTCTGAGGACGAAAGTGATATGGAAAACGAAGATGAAAATGGTTTCATCATGACTGTGGGGTCCTTCCCTAGCTGGTATATAAAGAATTGATAACTAAAGTCCGGAAAATAGTAAACTTCTCAAATGTTCGCCTACTCGCATGGATATACTCAATTCTTACCTGGAGTCCAAATCTAAAGACACGACACTGATCCTCCATTGCAAGACTCGTTGGAGCAGCCTTGCTGATATGATAGCAAGATTTCTAGAATTCAAAGACCCAATTCAAAAGACATTATATGATCTCAAAGAGAAGACTACCTTTTCAGATACTGAAATATGAATTTCGAAAGATCTGTCTAGTTCTCTGAATTTCATAAAGGCCACAGTTGAAGAACTTTGCAAGCGAAAATCAAACTTACTTACCGCTGAAATTGCACTTGAATTCATGATGGAGAAATTGGCGATGTACCCAGACATTATTAGTGGCCAGCTTAAAGAAGCTTTAAACAGAAGAATCTTGCAGAGGAATACCCCTCATGCATTTCCAAAGGCATCCCATGCGAAAATAATAGCCTTAATTGTAAAAATCAATGAGACTTATTTTTGCAAAGATAAAGCTGCTATAACTGTCTTTGAAGCTGAAGATGACCTGCCTTTAAGAGAAATACAAAGACAGCAACGCTTTGAAGATGAGAGGGAACAGGAGACGGCCAAGACATTCAAGGAACAGTTAAAGATAAAAGTTAATGGATCCTTGCACAATGCTGCTGAGGTATCAACAAAACATTTGTCCGAAAACGATGACTTGGAAACATATGTGAGGGTGGAAATGGCGTTATTAGATCGAAGTGGCCCTAAAAGCATTCATCTACAACGTGTTTACGATTTTTTACTTACCATCCCATCTACAAGCGTTGAAGCAGAACGTGTATTTTCGGCTAATAGATATTTTTGCAATTATTTGAGATGGTCATTCAATGAGGATATGTTAGACGCGCTCAGTTTTCTACGGACATGCGAGTAACTTATGAACAGAAAAAAGTATATTTTTGTATTTTTACGTAAGTGTGGATGATTAAAAAGGTTCCTAATTAAAATGTTTAAGTAATAATAATGTTTCTAGTCATAAACTTAAGTACTATTCGTAAAATTCGTATTATTCGAAGTATTCGGATATTTTTTATTCGGTTATTCGGAAAATCCGAATACCTTTTTTGGACGAATAATGCATGACAAATTACTGCAGAGACAAATCTACGAAAACATCCCTGATCGAAAAAGCGCTTGAGGATACAGAAATAGGTCTTTGTGCCTTTATACACATTGAGGTCGCCTTCTACAGTAGCCCTACATCACTGCTGGTTGGGGGCCTGACATCTATAAATGTTGACCCCACAACCATCAGGTTGGTGAAGTCGATGCTCTAAAACAGAAAGGCAAAAATAGCGCTGTTTCAAACTTCGATTGAGGTTGCAACTACAAGAGGCTGTCCACAAGGAGGTTGTGTCACCCCTCCTTTGGACTCTTGCGGTTGACCAATTATTGTACAAGATGACAGACCTTCGCATGACACACTGACCTTGTGATCATTGCGAGGGGCTTTTGCCAAAGTACTTAATCATTAATTATACAAAGAGCCCTAGACACCATAAACAACTGTTGCAGGGATAACAGTTTTTCAGTTAATGCTGATAAAACTGTTATAATACCCTTTACTAAAAAGAGACGGTTGGACAAATTAGTCACACCAAAACTTAATGGTAAAGAAGTACCATTCTCCACTGAAGTTAAGTACTTGGGCGTAACAATCGACTAAAAACTAACATGGAACTCTCACCTTAGCAACGTATGTCATAAGGCTAAAATTGCTTTAGGTATGTGCAGTCGTATGGTCGAGAACAACTGGGGCTTGAGTCCCGGTATGATCCTATGACTGTACATCAGTATAGTAAGGCCGATTCTTACCTACGCTTCCATTGTCTGATGTAATAAGGCCAACCAAAAGTCTACTTTCGACTGCGGACAGACTTAAATAGTCTACAAAGGACTACTTGCTTAATGGCAACTAGAGCGTCATCGCCTGGAGCGGCTCTTAATGCACTTCTAGGTCTAACGCCCCTTGATCTTTACTTAGACAAGGAGGCGAGGGCTAGTTTGTATAGAATTAACGCTCAGGGCGGTTTGAGCTTGCTTTTCTATAAATTGAGATCCATGCTCGACTCAGTTAAGGAAACACCATACTTATGCAGTATACAGTAAAAAGTATACAGTGGAACTACCCTCCCAAAGACTGGGTGAATAGACAGGTGTGAGGTCGGTAGCCTTATATGGTAATAACGATGGGTCAAAAATGGGCCTCGACGTAGGCTTTGGAATTTATGGGGAACGCCCCAAATTCAAACTTAGTAGGAATTTGGGTAGATGCACCCTTATCTTCCAGGCCAAAACTTTCGCCATACTTCAGTGTGCGGAAATCAATCTGCAAAAACAATATGTTAACCATATAATCTATATTAACTCTGATAGTCAAGCAGCACTTCAAACTTGGTAAACTCGAAGCTAGCTGCGTGAACCGTCTAAACGCCCTGGGGGTAACAACAAGGTCGTTTTAAGATGGGTTCCGGGTCACGCGGGTAGGCAATGAAATTGCCGACAAGCTCACACGGGAGGGCTCAAAGAGTACACAATTTGTGGAATCTCAAAAAGCCTCGCCCGATTGACCCTGGAAACTCTTTACAATAATAAATCACTTAGGGCCAGGCTTAAAACATTCTAAAACATTAATCCGGGTTTTCGATCGTAAATTCACTTCGGAAGCCCTGGGATTAGGAAAAAATAAATTGCGCATTGTGGTAAGAGGCCTGACTGGACACTTGTTGTCTTAACTTGGACCTTAATACGCAAACGTAGCTCTCATCTGGGAAACTATGTATTTCGCAGAGAAGAAGTGAAATTGATCACAGCTAAGCAACTCCTATTCATTGAGGACGTAGGGCAGTGATGCACAGGCCACTCGGGCAAATTATGAACTGATGGCGGGCCGCCAGAAGTATAGGTAATTAAAGACAATAAAGAATTGATAATAATGTATTAAAATTGAAAAAGAATTTATTAATTTGAAGCGTGGCACTGCATAGTGCTTACAATCTTTTTTTATTTTTGGCTCAAATTTACTTGTAGCAACACGCAAAACTGCTTCCAAACTTTCATTTGCAAGGCGGTTTCGATTTTTTGTTTTATTATTATTTAGTATTGAAAAGGTTTGTTCACATATATAGGTAGAACCAAATAAGCTGGCACATTTCAGAGCGTTTATGCGCAACTTTTTGTACGTATTTTTATCAATGCAACGGTAAAAGTTCAGCAAGTCTCCTTCGTTGAATTTGTTGCGTAAATCTTGGTCGTTTTGAATGTCGATAATTTCTAACTGCATTGACTCTGGCCCATTTTCAACTGAAATCGTGAAAGGATTGCTGAATATGTCCAACAGAGGTTTCACTTTTTTAAACTCCGAAAATCTGTCTTGAAAAAAATGAATCAAAATATCTAGCTTTTCTACATAACTGAAATTAATCGCAGTTTTGTTGAATTTTTCAGCCATTTTCTATGATTGTAATTTCCAGAATTCAATTGCGATCTGAAAAGTGTCACCTTGCATTGAAAGGATGATACATGAGCGTAGAGCTAGGATATCAGTTGATATAGCAGCCTTGAAGCCGTGTGTTCAAGACATTCAAATGATTTGTAATATCAACTAAAAAGCCAAATCACACAACCAATCAGGATTTTTAAGTTCCGGGACAACCCTTTGCTTTTCTGCCAGAAATATTCCAATTTCTTCTATTAAATTTAGAAATCGTTCCAGTGTCAATCCAAGACTTAGCCACCTTACTTCTGCATAATACAGTAAATCTCCATATTCGCTTTCGATGTCATCAAGGAATTGTTTTAATTGCCTGTGATTGAGTCCTCGTGATTTTATGAAATTTACAGTCGAAACTACCACTTTCATGACATTTTGAAATTCAATTTTTTTTAGAACAGAGGGCTTCTTGGTGTATAATGCAGTGAAACTGCATGAGATCTTCAGCGTTTATGTTTTTTTTTTTGCAGATGCTTTTTCAGCAAAGTAACTAGCCCAGAATTGACACCAATCATCGAAGGAGCACCGTCAGTCGCAACTCCCGATAATGTTTTTGAACACTCATTCAAAAGTACATTGAGTATATCAACTCCTCTGGTTTGACCTTTCAATGAACACATTCCTAATAACTCTTCTAAGACTTCAAAATCTTTAGTAACACCTCGTATAAATATCAAAAGTTGAGCTGTGGAACTAATATCAGTGGATTCGTCGAGTGCTAATGAAAAAAATTCAATGATCTTAGTTTTTTCATTTAATTGTTCCGCAATATTACCTGACAAAGACATAATTCGTCTTTGGATAGTCATACGATTCAGTTGAATTTTCTCAAACTTTTTTGCTGCTTCTGGACACATTTTCTTAGCAGCAATTTCTATGCATTCTTTTACAAAATCCCCATCATTGAAGGGGCGACTTCGCTTTGCTATCATTCGAGAAATTTCATAACTAAATTTGGAGCTGTTTCTGAATCTTGAATGGGTTTTGTAAACATAGCTTGCTGACCAATAAGCTCCCGTTTTAAAGACAACATTTTTTGCTTTCTTAATTCGTCTGTAAACTTGGTAAAAGTAGGATGCTGCGTTTCATAGTGCCTTTTTACATTATATTCCTTTGCAATCGCAACAGAATTCTTGCAAATCAAACAAACGACTTTGTTATGCGGCCATACAAAAAAGTATTTCTCAGTCCAAATTTCTTGAAACTGCCGATTTTCATCTTTAACCTTACGTTTTTTACTAGGTCCTGGCTTGTCAATGTTGCGTTCTAATCCTGGCTAGGATTAACACAGCACCTAAAAACAATTACAGTACCTACTTAAATTACCCATCCTTTTTTAAATTACCAAAAATAATTGATTAAATAGGTAGGGAAACACTTATTAATAACAGAGTTTTACTTACGATTTCACAACACAATTATACACGGCACTTGACGGGAGATCTACGTAGAATGTGGATTAAAATATATGACACCGGCTAATCGAGTTAATATCTACACTAGAACTAATGACACTTCACTCAAATTAAAACCGAACTGTCGGTCGCTGCGGTTAGCGTGGCTTTTATACCGCGCGTATAGAGTCGAAAACTGTCTGGAGAAATCACGAAACCGACTCTGGAAGCTTCGTGTATCTACCTACGCGAGCAATCGGGAATTCGGGACTATTGCTATCGCGCTTGCTCTAACAATATAACCCGTGGATAAGCCGCCACCGCGCTGCCGTCATTGCCGCGCCGCTGGCCGCGGCGGTTCCTCAAGAAAACGAATTTAACCGAGATCAGCATGAACATTACCGACCGCTGTTACCGACGCATGCACGGCGCATCGATAAGCGCACTTAAGAGCGCGCGCGCGAGATTCAAATTACTTTTCGAACATTTTTTTTTTGGTTTTATTCTGGAATATAATTCAATATTTTTCGAATGTACGAGAGTATTATTTTTGCTGTCGGCGGGCCACCAGTATTCGACCGGCGGGCCGCGGTCCTTGCATCTACGACGTAGGGCTTAGCAGTGAAAATAGACATAGCAGCGATCACAATAGACCTTTTACGTCGCAGTGATACTGGTCTCTCTAGACCCTCATAGCTGCTCATACATAAAAAAAAAACATTTATATGAAATCTACAGTTATAACCTGATAATGAAAATAAATAAAAAAAAACGATTATCTAAAATAACGAAACGCCGAGTAATCGGAAGTCACGAAGGGTCCACACTTTCACTATTCATTTTTCGTCCGTGGGGACTACGTGCAGTAAAGTTCCTAAAGGAACTAAATCCAGGACTGGTTGTTGCCACTGGCGATTGGAGGGCTGGTTCTTATATCTTATGTAAAGGCTAAGCATATCTGCTATTCTATGGGGAAATACATCCAGCATTCTTAGCACTGTACCATGGGGGTAGGACTACATATTTAAATTTACGTATATTACATTTTTAATAAATTGAAGTATCTCTAATACACCAATATAATGAAATAGTTGGCCAGCATTTCAAAATAAAAATCATGCTGCGATACATTAATTTCTACAATGTATAAATTAATAACAAATTCATTTCTTGTGTTAAAATATCATATAGAACAAGTGTGTGTTAAATCAATCACGAGTAAATATTAAACAGACTTAAAAAAAGGAGAAGGTTCTCAATTCGACCGTATTTTTATTACATGTGTTACCTCATAACTTTTTTCTAGGTGAACTGATTTTGACGATTCTATATTTTATTTTTAAGCTGGTGCTTGTCATGTAGTCCTATATAAATTTTATCAAGATCTGACCAGTTGTTTTAAGTTATCCTTAGTAATACGTATTTAATTGACTTTGACTACATTGATGATGTTCTTAGTTTATTTATATTGAAGTTGGTTCTACAAAATTTTTACATTTTACCATTTGTTCTAAAAATTTATTTAGCATAATCATCTTTATGTATATAATTCTTCTGTTGGTGTGTATGTGATGTGAGTGAACTTGTAAAAAGCTGGACCAATTTTGATGAATTTTTTTTTTATGTATGACTAATTTGATTTGAAAATGATTAAGATTCACAATTGGACCCTGAATTGGATGCAGAGCCAGGGTGGATTGCTAGTCTATTTATAAAAATTACAAAACTGATTTAGTTAGCAAATTGTATTATAGTACATTAGCATTAAGAAAATAGTGAGTCATTGTAGTCCACTGGCCTAGCCACGCGGCCCAACCACTGACACATGACTAGTTGAAGCCAGTATCTTACGTACGTTAAGTACCTTTGTACGAAAAGGTTACGTCCTTTGCGCGTTATCTACAATAAATTTTATAAATGAATTACTCACCCATTCATAGGAATAAAAGTGGATCGATAATTCTTAGCAGAAAAAGAGAAATAATTTACAATATTTTTAAGTACTTCAAACTATATGATTTAAATGTGACTATGGAGAGTGCAGTATTAAAAAGAAGTGCATGTGTTTTGACTCACAATTTTTTTTAAGGCGAACGGACTATAAAAAAGCAATTCCCTTTTTTTCGCATTACCCAATAGACTAATAAATTTTCTACCAAAGATTTTTTTTATAAGATAGGGTGACAAACGAGCACACAGTCCACCTGATGGTAAGTGGTTGCTGTGGCCCATAAACATCTACATTTATCCTCGTTTGCGAATCAAAATGCAGATGCGTTGTCACTCATGAGGACTAAGAGGGAATGCCTCCCTTCCAGTAAAAAGGGTCTCCGGCTCTCTACAGTCACGATACGAAACACAGCAGTGTTAAGCTGCTATTTTACGCTGGTATTCTGTGAGAGCGTGGTCCCTACCCAGTCGAACCGACCCATTCGTGCTACAACTATACTACTAATATAGCTGCAGCATGGCTCTACCACGTACAAGTTCAGTTTTATTTTAAAACAATTAGATATTGTATGTTATAAATTTGAATACTTAGGTATCTTTATTTATGTATTTAATATGTTAAGCATTTATTTAATTTATAAAAAGATACTTTTATTCATTACTTCTTTGAGCTAAGCATGTCTACACTCCAATGTGCAATAAAAAAATGAGTTTACACTGAAAATGAAAAATAATGAAAAATGTTTATTTGACAGAAAACAACTACAACTCATTGAAGTATCCGTTGGTCCCAACACTAAGAAAAATGTGTCTCGGAGGTAACCATTTAGCATTAACAATTTATGTTAAGTTTAAACTTGGTTTGCTTAAACACAAAATTTAAAAACAAATGTAAATAAATAAACAAGATAGAATAAACAAGATAGAATAAAATTTTGCATTTTCTAATAATAATGATAGTTGGCCTTATGAGAATATATTTTCTGTCAAGTAATAATTTAATGTGAAGGAAGCAAGTCAGGAAACCATTTTTATTTTAGCTTCTTTTATAAAGCACTATTTTATATTGCGGAAGCTGACTAACTTTGTTGCAAATTAACGAGTCTATGTAGGGGCTGAATCAACTGGCAAAATACAATTTACTTGATAGTTATTGATTATTTATTAACAAGTTCGAGGTTATATGTTCATCATTATACATTTACATACTATGCAATGAAACTGGTTAAGAGACAATATCATATGTTCTAAGGATATGCAAGAAGAAGCAGTTCATTCATTTATTACATCTTATCAAAAGTCTACAGCTGAACCTAGGCATCACCCATTATTTACCTCATAGGAAGAATATTTGTCATGGTTCCCGCGGTTGGCAGGCAGGCTGGCAACTGCAGCTTTTTATTATTTGAAGTGATTATCAGGAAAGTGATACTGCTCATCTTTTATTATAGAATATGGGTGACAAACAAGCACAGAGTCCACCTTACAGTAAGTAGTTGCTGTAGCCCATAGACATCTACATCTATCCTCTATTAAGAATCAAAATGCAGATGCGTTGTCACCCTGAGGACTAAGATGGAATGCCTCATTACCAGTAAAAAGGGTATCGTGTGTCATTTTCCTCTGTCTTATCACACAACACTTGTTCCAGTTGTCACCAACAGATGGTGTAGGGCGTTATTTGTGTCGCAATGTTGTTTGATACACACGGTTTACTTAAGGACCATGGGATTGTTGGCATTGTAGGTTCACCACCATGTGTTCCTGTCCAATCCAATCCTTGGGGTTGGGCAGGGATTAAACATGGGCCTTCGAGCCAGATTTCAACCAGTGACCCATGGGGTGATATGTATGTGGCGGTGGTTTCTCCTACTCCGCCACTACATGGTAAATTATATTCATTAGATCATTGTTAATGATTGATAATGCTTGCTGCACCATTCTAAATGTTTTCCTGCATAAATACAGGAGATTGAGATTAACACATTGTATTGACCTGAAGGGAACTCAACTTTGAGATTTCTTCAAATGAGGTGTAAGATCTGTATTCTGGCAATTCCATTTTTCCTTGTTTATATACTAAATATCACAAATTGACACAGTTACTTTAATATAGCATCATCCCACAGTAAGAACCAAAAATAAAAGAACCTAAAGTTTTACACCGATAATGTAATACCACTTAATTATTCTGACTTGAAATTTGGCATACACCTTTCTTAACATAGACACCCACTAAGAAAGGATTTTGGAAAATTCAACCCATAAGGGGGTGAAATAGAGTTGTACAGCTTGTGTATAATATTCATCTTAAAACTATTTAATTACAATTTATTATAAAATAATAAAGAAATATTTTTAATATGCAATATATATCTATGAATGCTATAATGGTCTTAGAAGTAGTAATTCTAAGTATTCCTTAAGAGTAGCAATTAAATAAAAAAGATATTAAAAACTACATATTATTTGCTGATGATATGTCTTACTTTCTAAGGTGCACAAGGCAGTTTCCATGTTTTTCAATTACTAAAGTACTCCGGCAGCTTTACCCCTGTGCTTTCAATAGCTTTACAAGACAAGCAGCT